CATGTTAGTTGCAATAATACAAAAATTTTGTAAAATATAATTGACTCCCAACAACAACATCCCGTTATGGCTCTGTTTTGTCTTGTATGCTGTAACTTCTACCACTATCATGGTATCACCCGTAGTAGTTTGTCAAAATCATGATTTCGATACGTATTGTTGCAATTGTTTATTAATTGATTAATTATCGATATGTATCGCACGAATTCGTATCAATACATACGATACACAATAACGATCACATAACAATGTAGGCCAAAAATAATTTTTTCTTAAAAATAATTTAAATTAATTACAAATTTGTTTTAAATAGATTTTTAATTATTTTTTTCACAACTATATTCTTCTTGATTTAATAAATTATTCTAATTTAAAAATTAAAAAAGAATGAAACTATAATTTTATTTATGATGTCATTTTTAAATGTTTCATAAATCCAAAAATTTTAAGATGCATGATTGGAGAAACTTCAAGTCGACTGTTATAACCAAGGGAACAATACTATTATGCAAGGAAAAAAAAGAGAAAGATCATACAAAATAAGTAGAAATAAAGAAAATAGCAGATAAGTTTCTTAAAAGTCTGCAATTGTACATTTTAGAGGGTTGAATAAGAGAGGAAATATATGGAGTCAGACAAAAAATACATCAGAATTTTTTTTGAAACATAGAAAAAGAAATCCACAAGGAAATTGAAACATTCGTGGCTGCGGAAACTACAACATTGAATTGCAAAAGTTCATCAGTAAGAATCATCTATACTCCTTCATATCCTCCATCCACTTGACTGTAACTTCCATCAGAATAAGAGCTTTGATCCACCAAAACAACATCAGCCCCTGAGCTAAAACCGGTCATATCATTCCCTCCTCCACCATTTCCGCCGCTGCCAAAGATTCCTTGAATCATTCTTGTGCAATCGCTTGAGAGGCTCCAGTAGCTATCCCATTGGTAATACTACAATCTAGCTAGTTTCCTAGCATGTTTGGCTGCCACCCGTAACCTCCAGGCATCATTGGTGCTGCCTAGTAAATGCTGGTGGCCAAGGGGTCGAGTGCTGGCAAATGGGGTGGGATCTGCATTTGGGCCTACCGGTGCCGGGGCAGGAGTTGTGATTCTCAGCACACCATGAGCCGGAGTCTGAAATTGTTGAAATCCCCCAGCCGTCTGTTGGGTTTTGTTTGTGAAATAAAATCAAAAACTAAAAAGTTGCAATCTAAACTTGGTTCAATTTTTCTGGAACCAACTAAAAAGAGTCAAGCAATTAAAATAAACAAAACATGTTAAGTATTCATGAAAGGTTAGGCTAGTGACTTGGAACCTAAGGGCTATAAGCTGTGATTCATATTCTTTCAGTTCCTAGTGTTTGCCTAGAAATAGGTGTTGCAGGTTTTTGGTAAGTCTTTTTGCATTCCTAAATTTTGAAAAAAAACATTCAATAATTGTAAAATTGCATGTTCTTGTACTTTTCGTATCCTTGAGACAAATTACCAATAAAACCTTGTTTTACAACATAGTGGGGGCAAACATTGTCTTAAAGACAGTGATTACACACTTAGAGCACATCAAGATTTTTGTGATTCTCCCTTTATTGTCATATTCAATCTTTTATAAATAAAGCTTATCATTCTTCATGTTGTTCTTTGGTGTCTCTTCTATTTTCTCCTTTGATAGTACTCCTACTCATTATTTCGATCTTAAAACAATATTTATTATGGAGTCGACACAAAGTTCTGCTTCGAAAGTGATGAACCAAGATTTTGTGAAGTTAGATTGTCTTGATGGATATGACACTAACTTTAACCGTTTGAAAAACAAGTTGATGTTCTTTCTTATAGTCTTGAAGGTGGTTCATATTTTAAGCCAAAATTTGGACGAGTTTCCACGGCTGAGGAAGGAGAGTCCGAGGAGATCAAGAACAAACGTGCAAAGCGTGCAGAGGACGAGATTATCTATCGTGGTCACATCCTTAACAATCTTTCGAATTCATTGTATGATCTCTTCTCAAATGTGAAAAGTCCAAGGGAGATTTGGACTACCATTTAAAATGAATATGCTAATCAGAAACAAGGGGTAGATAAGTTTCGAATTAAAACGTGCTTTGAATATAAGTTGCTTGTTAATTATCCTCTTATGGATCAAATTCACGATCTCCAAGTTATAGTGTCAAAGGGGAAAGACATTGGTGTTGAAATCTCGGAATCTTTGCAAGTTGGGGCAAGTAATGCCAAATTGCCTCATTCTTGGAATGATTACCAAAAGAAGTTGTTGCACATTTCTGAGAATTTTACTGTGTCTAGTGTCTTGAAACGCTTGCAAATTAAAGAAGGGGCAATACTTCTTCAAAACGTGGAAATTGGTGAAAATTCTAAAGTGAATTTTGTGGTTGAAAATGTGGCTAACAAAAATAAGAGGAAGAAACCTGAAAATTCCAACGACAAGAAGAAAGATAGGAAATGTTACAATTGCAGTGGAAAGGGTATAAGGTCGATTGCAAGTCTAGCAAGAAGCAAAAGGGAAATAACATCCCAAGTGCGAATCTTGTTGAAGACAGTGCACTGGTTGTGGTGGTTATCTCGCTTGGGACCATGACTGAGTTGAACATGGCTATAGCACTTTCTTCCAAAGATTGGTAGTATGATTCTGGGGCTAGTATCCATTTGTGCAATGACAAGGATCAATTTGTGTGCAAGCCAAAATTACATTTTTGCTTGAATTGATGCATTCAGATGTATGTGAACTTAATAGATTTTTAATAAGGGGAAGTAATAAATACTTTGTAACCTTCATAGATGATTGTTCAAAATTTGTTCATTTTTATCTAATGAAGACAAAGGATGAAGATCAATGTTTTGAGAAGTGAAAGAAGACGTGAATACTTCTCAAATGAATTCTCAAAATTTTGTGAGGATAATGGTATTGTGCATCAAACTAGTGCATCATACACACCACAACAAAATAGTATGGCTAAAAGGAGAAATAAAACTTTGTGTGACATAGTAAATGAAATGTTTATAAGTTTGGATTTGCCAAATGATTTGCGGGGAAAAACCTTGTTGGCTGCGTTTCACTTAATAGAATTCATTTCTTAAAGACTAAAATATCTCTATATGAGCTGTGGAATGGATGAAAACCAAAATTGAACTACATCAGAGTTTGGGGATGTATGCTTATTGTAGAGTCCTGGTCTATGGATTTTCAAATATTTCTTATGAGTAAATTCATCCACCATAAACAAATTACAAAATATATTCCATTAGTTTTGTTGATAAGGGGGCGGTCTAAATTGTAGTTTAGACTCATCGATGAGATGAGCAGGAGAACTAAAATGTCATTTCCGGCTTAATATCAAAACTGTAGCCTAAAAGAAGATAAAATCGCTGAACGTTTCACAATCGCTAACCCCACGACAATCTTTAAAATCAAATAAATCGACTGTCAAGACTTATTTTTAACTTTTTTAAAATCTCCTTTGAACTTAAAAACAAGTGAAAGACACTTGTCCCAAATTGAAAATGGTAACCTGATTTGACCAATATATAAGTCTAATGTATCACTCCCTTTATTACCAATTGATTTGAGGTTTAACTACATGTGGGAGTTATATGGGTGTAATTTGATCGATCCACGGTTTCTCTAGTTTGACTGACCCGTAATGGGCATCTGATTATCTGTATTGGGCTTTGACTTATACCGTATTGGGTTTTGATACAATTTTTTCTGGAGTTTGATTGTTTAAAAAAAGTTTCATCCAACCCTTTTGGGTTTAATTGTTCAAAGGGGTTTTGTCTAACCTCTTTAAGCTTGAAAATAAGTGACACTTGTTCCACATTAAGTCCTATGCACTACTCCCTTAATTCCAACTAGATGCTTGGCTCAGGCAGATGCCCGGGCACCCCCTCTACTTTAATTTTGTGTTAATAGATAAATGAATTTTTTATTTGGAAAAAATAAAATAGCTACACATTTATTTTTTCCCTTTTTTAGCCAAAAATAAAAATAAAAATAAAAAATCATTTGCAAAAGAAGAAAAAAATATTAAAAAGTACACCGATGCAGAAATCATACAAAAGAATGTGAATTAATAAAAGGGATAAGTTTATGGACAAATTTAAATCCTATCTTAATTTGATTGATAAATGATAAGTGTTATGATTTAAAATTGTGTAGATATTTTTGTAAATTAGCTTTTGTTTTTCCAAATAAGAAGTTTTTTTTTTCTTTTAAAAAGGGATGACACGTGGCAGAATGGTTAAAGCAATATTGTGCATTTGGAGCCAAATTTTTTTAATAAGAAGTTGCCACATCAACATCCTGTATTCTGCTTTAATAGGGTAAAAGGGATTGATGTGATGGTTTACTTTACATACTGAAAACCGGCTACAACAAGTCAACCCTTGAAAAGTGTTCACTAAAATCCAAATCTTTAATCTAAATCATCAAATAACTGTCTTCATTCCCAGAAGACTTTATTCACCAAAAATGTCTTTTTCAAAGATTAGTGAGTTGGTCCGTGTAGGATTTGATGAGAGAGGTCAAGAGATAAGGTAAAGAGTGGGATAATATAGTCTTTTGATGCGCGAAAATATGTAGTAAATATTTTGGTATTCATTACTATTTTATTAGTAAATAATACTCAACGCCTTTTTTTATTTTTTTTTCTTGATACACGGGTTATATGAGCCCCCATTTTCCCTCGATGGGTGTCGAACCCACATCATGCGGGTGAGGGGTGTAAGGGTGCCCCACTGCGGCAACCCCTCAATTGACCGCCCTTTTTGATAATTGTAATTAAGATTCTTCCAATCCTAAATCAAAATTTTCCCTAAATAAAATTAGTCAACTGAGAAGGCATTGAGTTACAGAAACTAATGGGAGGTATTGTAAAATACTTAATTAATTCAGGTTTGTAAAGTAAATTTTGTATAAATGTGTGCTTTAAAATTCACATTTAAGTGTTTCATGTCTGCTATTGAAGAAGTTTCGAGTCCACGGTCATTCATCTCGGCAAACAATACTACGCAGAAAAGAGAAAGATCAAATAAAAAATCAGTAGGAACAAATAATACAACCAATAAATTTCAACAAGTTTGCAATTGTACATTTTAGAGGGATGAATATATAAATTTAAAGACAAAAACATACACCAAATTTAGTTGAAACCCAGAAAATTAAATTAAAAGTACTATTTCGGTGAAAATCCACAAGGAAATTGAAAGTTTGAAACGTCCATGGCTGCGGAAATGACAACATTGAATTGCAAAGGTTCATGAGTACGACGCATCTACTCCTCCTCCTTCGTATCCTCCATCAACTTGACCGAAACTTCCATCGGAATAAGAACTTTGATCCACCGAAACAACATCAGCCCCTGAGCTGAAACCTGTCATATCTTTCTCTCCTCCACCATTTCCGCCGCCGCCACCGCCGCTGCCAAAGATTCCGGGAATAATTTCTTGCGCAAGCGCTTGAGAAGCTCCACTAGCGATGCCATTGGCAATACTGCAAGCTATCTGGTTCCCGAGCGTGTTTTGCTGCTGCGCAGGCATCATTTGTGGCCCGTAAACGCCGTTGGCCATGATGGGTCGAGGGCCGCCGGCAAATTGGTGTTGAGCTACAAACCCCGGTGTCGGAGCAGGAGTTGCCATTGTCGGCACACCATGAGCCGGAGTCTGAAATTGTTGAATTCCCCCAGCTTGTTGAAATCCCCCAGCCGCCGGCGAAACAGAGTTATAGTGAACAAGGCCCATTCCAGGCTGGCCGAGATTGTTGGCCATGATTGGGGCACCCAAATGTGGAGGCGCAGAATTTGTCCTTGGCATTGACAAAGAGGGATGAAATTGCTGATTTGGGAAAGATTGCTGATGGGTCAGAGGCAAATTTTGTGAAGGAAAATTCGGAAGAGAATACTGATGGAGCAGAGGAGTTGGATTTGACGGCGGCAATGGTTTGTTCACGCAGGTCAAGTGGACATCAAATTCACAGATGTGACAGCGGTAGAGCCAGTTCTTGGAACCACCCAACCGGCAAACATCACAAGAGAAAGTTCCGATTGGATACGGAGGCGCAAAAGTGAGGCTGAGCTGATGCGGGTGAAATTGACGGGTGATTACCATCGGAGATGAAGCACAGAGGATATGAAGATCAATCCCACACGTTTCACACCGGTAATTGAATCCATATCCCAATTCTGCGCAGGCATCACAGGTGAAAGTGCCATCCGGGTACGCCGGTTTGGTCATCAGAGAAAGGACATGGTTGTTTTTATCGAACGGATGAGTGATCCTCTGAGGCATCTGGGAGCATTTCTGGTGGAGGGAATAGTTGCAGGGTGTGCAAGTGTAAATGGGTCCTGACGAAGCATCAAATTGTTTGCATCCTGAACACTGGGCATTGAAATTGGTGCCCTGTTGGGTGAGGAACAGAGGATGTGGATGGCTGAAATGAGTGATTGAGGTTGAAGATTGTTGTTGTTGTTGATGATGATGGACGGCGCCGGTTGCGGCAACCGCCATGGTGGATTGAGGAGGTTGATTGGCCGGATTTCCCATCTTCCGTTGACTGTGATTTCTGAATTTCTGATCTTTCCAATGTGGAGATTGGAGAAGAAGTTCACAGAGTGGAGTGGTGTGGAAGAGAAATGACGCTGGTATTGATTGGGGCGCAGGGGCTAATAGTTTCTTACTAATTATTATTTGATAGAATTATCGTTTTAAAGTCAACTCTTTTGTTACAAAGACTTTGTCTCATGGAAGAAGGATACGAAACAGTGCAAGTAGGCTTAAATTAGGCTGCGATTAGCTGTCTTTTAATTTCTTGGGTTCACACTTTACACAGATCAATTTGAGTATTTGACTCGGCCATGAAAAGCTACAGTGGTTTCAAATTCATGCCAAGCATGTTTAAATGTTGAAATTGAATATATATATATATATATATATATATATATATATATATATAGCCCCACAAGATGAACATCAACGCTTTACCAAGCTTCAACCATATTTACAATGTATTTGCTTTGAAAGTTTCAATTTGATCTGTCCACACAAGCAGATATAAGCTTGTGATTAAATTTGTAAAATTTTGTCCCTACCAAGTGTAATTTGTGATATATAATGTAATATTGTACGTATCATCGCACGTATTTCCCTCTTCTTGAATATATTACGATTGATTTTGTAAATATTAAGTAAAAATTTTAATTTCTTAATAAAGTATTTTTTTTCATTTATATATATATGAAGTGGTATTCATTAACAGACATTAAGTCATACAATTGGGGTTTTTGAATTAAGTGAGCGAATCTGCCAAAGTCATATAGAGTCTACTTAAGATCATTTGTCATTTATCTTTACTAAAAATATATTTCAACTCATTTATCAGTTTCTAGGTTTTGCATCACTGTTACAAACTTATTACACCTGTCAAGTTTAAATTGAATCAATGAGAAACATAAGAAGGCTAAAGGGGTGATGTTATTGACAAAATAAAATACTCATCTCATTACAAGATGAGAATGTTAGTCGTAATCAAAGAAACAAGACTTGTTCTAGGATGGGCACATTTTTCTTTGATTACCGCCCAAAGACAAATTAAGGAGAAAACTGTAACCAAAAAAAATAGAAAATGATCATTTGAAACGAGAGAATTTAACCGAATTTGCAATTTTAAATTTCAAAAGGGTGAAAAAGAAAACAAAAAAATACAATTGAATTTGATGATGGAGTCACCAACAGAAAAATAAATTTGTTTTGAAACCGGAAAAACCTGCGAAATTTACAGTTAAACAAACGAACAACGACAAACATACATAAAATTGCAAAAGGTGATCACTCAGTAAGAACCATCTGCTCCTCCGGCATAGTCTCCGGCAGATCCATCAAAATACTGACCTTGATCCACCGGATAAACATCACCCCCTTGATAGTAACAGCTCATATCATTCCCTCCGCCACCGTTGCCGCCGCCTCCGCCGCCACCACCGCCACCGCCGCCGCCACCGAACATTGCCTGTATCGCTTCTGTCCCAATCGCTTGACCAATACCACTAGCTAAGCCATTAGCCACACTGTTAGCAAGCTGGCTTCCCATCCCGTTTTGCTGCTGCATGTAATTAGGATGCATAATACCCGTACCCGATGCTGGTCCGTAATTATAACCGCTCTGGTACATCAGGTTTGGACCGGGTGGGCAGGCATAAGGGCCGGCGGCGGCGTAAGGGTTTGCCGGAGAAACTGCAATTCCTGACACAGGTTGAGGGCCCGGGTGAAATTGTTGGAATCCCCCTGTAGCCGCTGCCGGAGAAGGACCGAATGGACCCGGGGCTCCGGCGAAGGTGTTTGCGGGACGGTGAAATTGTTGATTTGGAAGAGATAGCTGATGGGTTATAGGAGGAGGATTTTGTGTAGGATAATTTGGAAGAGATTGCTGATGGGCCAGAGGAGGGTGCCCTGTTGCCGGCTTTTTCACGCACGTAAGGTGTATGTCGAAATTACACATGTGGCATCGGTAGAGCCAGTTTTTGGAACCACCCAAATGGCAAATGTTACAAGTGAATGTTCCCATTGGATATGGAGGTGAGAAGGTGAGGCTGAGTTGGTGTTGGTGTGATGGGTGAGTGATCACCATTGGTGATGAAGCACAGAGGATATGGAGATCAATCCCACACGGTTGACAGTGGTAGTTGAAACCAAAGCCCAGTTCTCCACAGGCATCACAGGTGAAAGAACCGTTCGGGTACGCCGGCGTTGTCAGCAGAGAAAGGGCATGGTTGTTTTTATCGAACGGGTGCGTGATTGTTTGTGGCATTTGGGAGCATTTCTGGTGGAGGGAGTAGTTGCAAGAAGCGCAAGTGTAAATGATTCCGGACGAGGCATCATTCTGTTTGCAGCCTGAGCAATGAGTGTTGAACCCTTGTTGGGAGAGAAACAAAGGATGTGGATGGCTGAAATGAGTGATTGATGTTGAAGATTGTTGTTGATGAAAAGCAGTGGTTCCTGAAACAGCCATGGGGGATTGAGGAGGTTGTTGAGAACCTGCCGGATTTCCCATCTCTGTTCAGTGTTGTCCGTGTTTCTTTTCTCAGCTTTCTTTGAAAATGATTTGGGAATTTATTGTGGAGTTCGTTTGTACGAGAATGATATGCTTGATGTTGTTTGGGGGCAATAGATTCTTAATTTGGAAATAACCATGGCATTATTAAAGTCAACTTGTTGTTACAGGCTTTTTCGGATGATGAAGGATCACAGAATGTTCAATTAAGTAGGCTTATCTGTGTTTGCTGTGTTGAATTTCTTGGTATGGTTTCATCTTCACGTAAAAACTAGTGGCGGGAAAAAAAATCTTGAGTTAATTGCATGAACTTCCCTTTAGTTTTCTTATATTGCGAAATGTACTAGACATATCATTAATTTTCCTTGTAATGCACTCGTATATAATTGGATGGACCAATCTTCAGAAGAGATAAATTGTGAATATAAGTTATAAGCATATTGTAGAACAAAATCTAAGTATAACTTGGCAACCTACAACATGTGGATTAATTATATTCCATATATACTAAAGCGTTCAAGGAAAAAGGTGCAATTGTATTATGAAACCAATTTTGATCCATATTCAACTGAGAAAAATGTAAACAGTTGAGCAACTACAATTTGGTCGACAAATTTCTATTTTAACTTTTCAATAAGAATCGACAAAATATGGATAAGAAGATAACAATGAGAATATATACTGATCGATCAAGAGACCACATTGGACTTAAATGTGTAGAAACATGCTCTGATGGACGACCAATGCTCAGGGTTCTTCTCATCATCTGCTTGCAATCTACGAAGTTTCAATATTGGGTAGATTGCACATTTTACAAACCTGAGGATGACGAAGTGTTACATTCCAATTTTTCAGGGTATGTTTAGCAAAGTAGAAATCTTAAAGGGGATTGTTGACAATGGATTCAATTATGGTGCACGTCTTTGTCAAATGTCAATGTTTTACACTAAGTGACTGTAAAAGGTACTATTTAGTGCAAAATTTTAATCGATGCTGTTCTCGAGCAAGTTATCGGCACAATACTCAAAATAATAATTATGGTTGTTTTTAATTAATTATTATATATACATAACACTTACTTTGGACGATAAAGAATACTCTCTTAATTTAAAAATGTAAGTTTTTTTTAGACTTGACACGTAAACTTAGGAGACAATCATCCAACAATTAGTTTATGTGTTAAATATCTTTGTACCCCTCATTAATTACGTTGGAACTATAAACAAGACTAAATAAAAATAAATTATCATCATTTACTGAGGGTAAATTTGAAAAAATAGTCATTAATTTGCCTAGAATTTGTAAAACGATCTACATTTTAAAAAATCCCTCAAAACTTAAAACGACATATATTTTGAAATGGAGGGAGTACCTAATTATTACACATCAAATAGTGAATGTATGATTTCATCATTTGCACAAAAAGGAGAAGAATAATGACTTAAAATGGATTTGAGATCCAGAACTTTTTTCTTCCCAAGTGCATATACAACTTTTTATACCGTGTGTGTGTATATATATATATATATGTGTGTGTGTGTGTGTATGTATATATATATATATATATATATGTGTGTGTGTGTATGTATGTATTTCCAACGTCCAGGAAAAGAAAACGCCACAGTAAATACTTTTTTTCCGTATCACAATGTAGTCTTTTATGAAATCTCATTTTAGTTCAACAAAACACGGTTCCATTTTTAGACGGATGGAATCATTATTAGAAAAACAAAAGCTTTAGCCATGTCCTTTTAGGGTTTTTTATTCCAGAAGCTGAAGTCAAGTCAACAATAGTTACAATACTGAATAAAACCTCTCAATTGGAGGAAAAAGTAGGTTTATTTGGGACACTGCAGAACTGGTCAATGAGAATCAGAAAGACATTACTCAACAATCACATGCTATATTGGAATTTCCGCAAGGAGAGATGTTTCGCCTCTCATTTACAGTCATGAAACCGTTGACTTGGAGGAATTTAAATTTTTTTTTCTTAAAAAATAATAGTTAATGATAATGATAATGATAATAATATAGATTTCTTTTTTTTAAAAAAAGACCAAGTTGGATCGATGAAGCAAGCTGTCAATTTAGGTTGACGTCTTAGTGCTTACTAATGGCTGTTGTAAGCCAATTCAGGTGGTGGATGAGCATTTGGTTTGTCTTGGGAGTACTATTTAATTGCTGATGTGATAAACTGGCTTTGGAACTAATCAATGAGACAATTGTATGTACTATATATCCGAATTAAGAACTTGGAATTGGTTCGTTGATCCTCCATGGATACACGTAATTTTGGTAATATATTGGTCGATCGGGTTCATATTAATTAACATATTATGCATGTATATGAGTGTATCTATTTAGTCATAGAATAATAGGGGAAATTACAATAGTGTTTCCTTGTTCCAAAGGAAATAATAAATAAATAAATAAATAAACTCTTTATCATATCTTAATATAATAGTTTAGTTTAATAAAGTAAATTATTTTTTGAGACAAAAATAGTAGTAAAATTTGAAAGAGTGAGGAGTAGCACTGCTTGTCAATACTGTAGTTACATTTGAAAAAAAAAAAACACCTCAGACACAAATCTATAATGTCTGGAACAATTTGGGGTTAATTATGTTGGTTGAAACCAATGATTATCAAACCGAAATGATGACCAGAAGGACGAAACAATGTTGTGCTAATCAAGATAAGATCATTTCCTAGTTGTTCGTTAGTAGGATCGCGAAAAAGAGACATATACTTTTCATGTGTTTTTCATAGTTACCTTTATTCTCTCGTTATCTGAAAACCCTTGCCCTCCTCAATTTTATGGACTAAAATAGCATACCAACAAAAAATTATATTCACGGCGTTTGTGATCATATGTTAATTAGCTCCAATGAAGATAGATCTTATATCCTCCACATATCACCACTGTTGGGTTCAGATCACATAAACTTATGCACAGCGGAATAATTTCAAGAATTCTAAACCAAAATCCATGCGAATTACTAATAAATATACCTTCCACCGATGATTGACATATACCTAATCACTAGCAACCCAAATGGGCTTGCCTCTATCAGTATCCACTCTGATCAGCGAGAATGTTTAGGCCTTTTTTCAAAAACTGTGCTAATAGTTGAGGAAGAAATGAGACATGATTTACGGCTTACAGGAACACATTGGCGGCTGACTATCACTATCTATTTATAATAGTGAAGCCCTAAAGACATAATTATGATTATATCCTTAGTTAACTTAATTGCATATTAACACTTTAATCTTTATTAAGTTGATATTTAGAATCATAACCTAAATTATTGACCATTGAATGTGACGCTATAAGGTTTTATAACGTTGGCAGTAACACAATATATTTTGTTTCAGAGCATAAAACTAATAACCACAAGCACCTTGTTGATGGGCTACAAGAGCTACTACAGTACTATGTCCTTCGGTTTTTATTGTTGGTATTGTTATCTTAAGTTTTCAGTAGAGAAAAATTTCATATGTTTCCAAAACTTATAAAACAGATATACTCCTACGTAATTTTATTTTTTTTTTTCATTTTATTTCTTATCTTCGAAACTTTGCCCCCTCCTGTTGGATCCGTCACAACTCCAATCAACAGTGTACGTTACGCACTAACGTTTGACAACACGCTATGTGGTTAAGATTACATGAAAATTTTGACTTGTGGACCACGGTTGTGCTTGAGCTGATTTTCAAAATTGGAAGACTGGTTTAGAACTTCATATAGAATGAAGGATAAATGAATGAGGATTAGTTAAAATTAGGGCATCTAGTTAAGAGACAGCTTGATTGGTATTGTCAGTTTTATTCAGAAATGAAACTGCAAAAAACTTGATCCTAATGGATATAGTACGTATGACAACAATATATAAGACGAAAATGACCATGTTGATGAAAAACGAACTTAAATGTAGTAAAACTTCAAATTAACATATACAGATTTACTGAACCACTTCTCTTTATGTAGCGATGTGAGACAATACATCTTAACATATACTCCTTCTGTCCCAAAATTATTGTTCGGTTTGATATTTCACTTTTAGTACAATTTGAATTAAAAATGAGAACCCAAACTGGACAATAATTATGGGACGGAAGGAGTATACAGTTTCAAATTCCGGATATCAGAAACGCTCCAGCTGAGGGATGTTATTGTACAAACTAATTAGTACATTACATAATCTGTTTTCCAAACTGAATTGAAGAAAGCATGTGCACACACCAAATCAAAATCAAAGTGAATGAATTAGCAAGCATGGAATCTCAAAGAAACCAATATCTTGATTCTTGTTCGACGATCCACTTCTTCAACATTCTTAACAGAAACCGAAACCGAAACCTCCTCCAAGGAAACTTCCAATACCCAAATTTCCAAAGATATCAAATCCACCACCACCAAGGAAACTTGTAAAATCCATCCCACCAAAACCTCCACCACCACCTAAGACGCTGAAAGGGTCAAGACCCGGAATATTACCACCAAGCATATTCGTTGGTCCTCCTGTTAATCCATGAATCAGGTTTTGGATTCCTCCAAACCCACCATTTCCATATCTTTGTGCAGCCGTCATATTTTGTATCTGTTGAAAGACTTGCATCTGCTGCTGATTCATCCTGTGTTGAACAGCCAGAAGTTCTTGTTCAAGCCTCATCATTTCAGCCATAATTACTGCATAATAATTATCCATCCCCTGATATGGATGAGTTGTTGGAATCCCTGTTGGAACATGATATGATGAATAACTTTGTGGTGGTTGATGATGGAGAGATCTTGAGGAGGTTGTAGGTGCTTGATTTTGTAGCCGGGGTGTCGGAATATTTCTACAGTTCAGATGAACGTCGAAATCGCAGCCACTGTTGTTGCAGCGGTAGAGCCAATGATCGGACCCGGAATCGCCACAAACATCGCAAACAAATATTTTGTTGTAATGGGTTGGCGAGAAAATTAGATTTAATTGATGGGGATGAGATTGGTGGTTGAATTTTAATGGCAAGACCGCGCAAAGAATGTGAAGGTCATTCTTACAAATTTTGCAGTGGTAGCAAAAACCCTGTCCAGGTTTCCCACAAGCGTCACAGTTGTAATGCGAGCTTCCTTCGTAGGGAGATTTTGAATAGAGGGTTAGAACATGGCCTTTTTTCTCGAAAGGGTGAGTGATTTTCGACGGCATTTTTGCGCACTTGGTGTGCAGGAAATAGTGGCAGTTTTTGGTGCAACTGTAGCAATTCGTTCCTGAATTAACTTGCAATTTGCATCCTGAACATGTGGCTGAAGCAGAAATGTTTTGATGATTGGTGAGCTTTAAGGGGTGAGGATGGCTAAAATGCTTCAAGGTAGTTTCTGATTGAGAACTCATGATTCTTGGCCTCCTCTCTCTACTTTTTCTCACTCTCTGCCTGTTTTGAACTTTGAAGTCTATCCCTCATACAGAGAGTTAGAGATGCCCAATATTGTAATGTCTGAAGGGGCAAATGTTTTAATAAGTTTTCTTTGTCCAGAATAGGACGTGAGACTTCTATAAACAATGAAATTAAGTCAGCTATTTGGGGTGAAAGGGAATATTTGTTTTCATTTTTGAAGTTGTTGAACAGGTTGATGGATTTAAGCTGATATTTATCGCCAATTGAAGAAAATAATTGAGTAAATAGAAGATTGATTCGATGGCTTGAATGTTCAAAGTTGAAACACGTAATAATTTATTGCCTAGTGTCTTATTGTTCGTAAAGTGAATAAATATTTGGTGGCCAGGACTGATAATTTTTGGATGTGATATACAAAAAACAAACCTAAACTTGTTTGTAAATATATATATTCGTGTCTGTGAGGTAGAAAGATAATTTTGTTTGGTGGCAAGATATTCTATTTCATTTGTGCAGGTCCAATTCCATGGAACTGTTTGAGTTGCCTTGAAAAGGTCTAGTGCATGTCCAATTCGTAATGTGAAAGAGCAAATATATGAATTTTAAAATTGCAAGTACATTTCATCTAATTTTATCCGTCACACTTTCAAGTGGCAAGAAGTCGTTTCCTCCTTCATGAGGATTGGCTGGGTGGAGGAGACAGAACGACCAATGAGAATTTTTTAGAAACTGTCAATCGATTAAGTATATTGTAAGACAATATTTCAGGTTATGGATGAGGGTTTTGGTTTTGACTCTTCTCGTTAATAATCGTCTCTAACCAGATAATATTGGCATACATGTCTACATTCACTGTATTCATTCATCCGAATTCAGAAAGGATAATTTCTTAAATTTTGGAAGACAAAATTTTTATCATACGAACTTCAAAACTAATTGTGAATTTTTTTTTTTGCCGGGAGGAGTATTATAATCTGTACTTCGAGTTCATATTCTCAATTTTCGACGTACGTGTGCAAGGCCTGTATTGATGTCATTATTAATCTTGCATTTGAATCAGCAATCGGAAATGGTAAAATCCTCGAAGGACACACGTCACTTGCAATGCATAGGCCGACTGGATCTTAGGAAAGTTGTATGCGTAGTCATACAAGACTAGAATATCGCAGAGAATTTGCCAATGTGCAGTACTAGTACGGACTACGAACTAATGAATGTTAGGAAAATTTTTTTGGAGTTAATATAACTCGTTAAATAATCATGATTTGTAAAGGTGGAATGGGTTTTAACTAAATTGTTGAATGAATATATTCCAACAAATTTAATACATTCCATACTTCTATTTAAAATAAATAAATAAAAATTTCTCGAATGAATTGCTCCCTTGATGATAGCCACCTCTACATGGTGATCTTCGCGTCCAAATTGAATGAATCGCCAGTAATTGCCACCAAATTCTGCTTGATATCGCTAATCCGTTTCATATACTTAAACATTTCCGATATTAATTAAGCAGTTTTTAAAACGAAGAAGGAATGAAATCAAATTGATGGCACCACGTTAAGGGGAGATTTGACCTTAATTGTCAACTAAACAACAAAAACTTGATCATACCATGAGCCTCTAAAAAAAGGAAGGAAAAAAAGAAAAAAAGAAAAAGGAAGAAAGAACCAATTAATTGAAACAATCAATATTCATACAACACTGGATTTCAACTTACAAAAGCAGACCCTCCAATTGAGGGATCCTTATTGTACAAAGTATATGTTTTCACTTTTCAAATTAATTGAAATGAAAAACAAGCAAATGCCGCATCATATCAAAATACGAAAAAAATTATTCCCTTTATCTTAAAATTATTATTTGATTAAAATTTTTATGCTCAATAGAATACATACTAAAAAAAGTAAAGACCTAAACTGGATTATACAGAAGGAGTAATTAGCAAGAATGAAATCAGAAAACATGCACGTCTTCTTCTTGATCGACTATCTACTTTTTTTCAAGGTCAACACTCTTCTTACATAAAAAAAAAAAAAAAAGATGTGGTTCAGTTCTACAGATTGCTCTCAGAATAAACCGAATCCTCCTCCCCCTCCTCCAATCATGCTACCCAAATCGAATCCATTTCCACCACCAAGTAAACCTTGCAAGTCCACTACGACCCCCACCCCCACCCCACCCCCCAATACCACCATCGTTACCACCTAATCCATTCCCAGCTAAATTTGTAAATGCTTCAATCAGGTTTTGCATTCCTCCGATCCCATCATTTCTCCTATTTCCAGACATAAGTTGCTGAATCAACCTGTTTTGAGCTGCAATAACTTCTTGAAGCCTGGCTATATAAGCCAGAACTGCGGGATCAACTCCCTGATTAGAATGAGTTGGCACATGACGCGTTTGAGAATTTTGAGGTAGTTGATGAGTACCCGAAACTTGAGGAGCAGATCGATTTGTGAAAGCCAGCACACTTCTTGGATCTCGAACATTTTTTGTACACTTCAAATGAACATCGAAATCACAAATATGGCATCGGTAGAGCCAAGGGTTAGACCCCAACTCATTGCAAACATCGCAAACAAATGTCGTGTCGCGATGGGTTGGCGAGAAGATGAGGTTGAGTTGATGAGGGTGAGAATGATGAGTGAAAGACAACGGCAAAACCGCGCAAAGAATATGGAGGTCAATCTTGCAAATTTCGCAATGGTAACAAAACTGATGAGAATCATGTAGTCTTCTATGGTGATTCTCCTAGTGAGGGAAATGAGCTAGTCTTTCATTCTAGTTTTGGAATGCCAAGTTTACTTTGCAGGCCAATCAAGAAAGAAAGGATGGATCTTGACTACCTATGTGATAGGGAGTTGGTTCAAGAGATCTATGATCAAGATGATGAGAATGTCATTAACTTTGGGGTTCAAACCAAAGGAGATGATTCACTCATGGAAATAAGTGCTCAAGAGTATCAAAGAAGTTTGACTCTAGGTGCTCCATGAAGATCATTGATCAAACTAGAGAGAAGAGTCATTTAGGTTCTTGAATGGACGGCCTATTTGATCAAAGTGTTCAAGATTGAATCCATTGCTACACAATTAGATAGGTTGCAAACTATCTCAATTGTTTCAAGTGTTTTTCCAATCTTTTGGAGTCAATAAAGAGAATTCTACAAGTTTTGGAGTAAATTGGAGTTCAAGACCAATATTCCACCTTTGGAAGGACGTTCAAGACATTTTACTTTAATATTTAGAGCTGAATTTCGAGATTTAGAGTATTATCAAGTCTAGGAGTTGAATTTTTGAATTTATCTAGTTAAATAAGTCATGTGGACTAAATTAAACTAGAGTGTTTTGATTAGGAGTCTTAGATTCCTTCTAAGTATTATCCTATTAGAGGATAAGTCATTTAGATAAGGTTTTCTAGATTTTAGATAGAGTCAAAGAGATCAAATACTCTTTTAACTCTACTCCTTCGTGAGATAAGATTAGAGAGTCCTAGTTGGAATTCTTTTTGGAGCTTGGCCGAAATTACTAGCCTATAAATAGGGGGGATGGCCGAAAGTTAAAGCACCCTTGAGTGGTCATTTTTGTTGTCTTTATTGAGAGTTTTTCTTGTGACGAATTTTTATTAAATGGTGTGTCCATTTTTCGTGTCAAGTATGATTTAACCAAGAGGGTTTTCATCTTGTTTTGGATCTTTTGATCTTGCAGAAACCATTCTTTTTCAAGTATGCTTCTTGATAGAATTGTTTTAAAACTAAACTTTTTATTTTCATACTACTTCTAGTAGTTCGAGAGTTGAGCCTTTCTTTTGGCTATGGTTTTCAAGTTCATGATGTGTGTGTTCATGAGTTCCATTATGGGGTTTGTCCTACTTTTTGTTAGATGAGTCGTGCTTTGGCATAAGCATTTTGAGATAGTGTATGTGTTGCATATCTTTGTTGGTTATGGAGATTACTAATCAATAGTATTCCTTCATAGTTGAGCATTGTTTGCTCCTACCTTTCTTGAGTCTCTTGATTGGTGACTGATCGAGTATATTGAATGGTGTCGTTACTATTCTTAATGTGGGTTGTTGTTTAATTCAAATCTTTCATAGATAATGTGTTCTTTGATTGGTTTGAGTTAAGAGATAGAAATCCTTAGATAAACGATCGTCTTACAGTGAATTTTCGGTACTCTTTTGAGTTTCAGGGGATAGACAAATTATCTTCGTACTTTCTTTTTGATGGTTACATTAACGAAATTTGCTTCATCTACGAGATTGCTATCAGTTTCTGGTATCAGAGCTTGAACTATCTAAGTGATGGTATTTATTGATATTATCATATCAGTTTCTATTATCAGTTTAATTTTCGAGAGATTTCTTTTTGATTGAGCACTTCATTGTTCTTGGTTTTGAGAATATCTTGAGTTACCACAGAATCCGTTACTTGGTGTGGTAATCGAGTTTTGTGCTACTAACGAGTAGTACTATCTTTATTTGTTTCAAGGTTCCTTCTTGTTGCAGAATGGGTTTTGAAAAAATAAATCAAATTCTTGTGAAAGCTACGTTTTCAAAATTGATCTTGTCTTTTGTGTGGTTGTGCGAGACTCCTTACACATTTGTTTGATCTTATGGTGTTATTTTGGGGTCTATGCGAGAGCTTAATGATGGTACATTGGTATCTAGTCAAACTGGGCGCTAAATCTTGAAATTTATCCTTGATTTGCAAGTAGAGAACTGTTTCTCCTGTGAGCAAGTTAGTGGATCTTATGTGTTGAATCTTTAAGGAGAGAATTGATGCCAAAGAAGAGCTTCTTGCTCGAGATAGACTTTTCTTTCTAAAAGAGATGTCTTTACATGAGGAGGCTTTAAAAGTTTATCTTGTGGTAAATATCTTGGATCTATTCTTTGAAAGGTGAAGCTTATTGAATTTGTACTTTCAACATAAAGTATAAATGAAAAAGTCTTCCTTCTTGTTGGTTCTTATTTGAATCTAATGAGTAAAATGGAATTTATGGATTTTCAATCAATAAGAATTTCATAGAGTTCTGCTTCTTTTTGATTATTTTGTCTAAATCTTGGTGTCAAAAGATTTTCAAAAGTAACAAATGTCGATTTTTGGTATCTCATAAGTTTATACTTTGAGAATGAGTCGAATTAGTGGATCTTCCTATTATTGGACTTTCCATGATTCCTAAC